CAGTTTGGATCAGCCCCCCCCCCTCCCCCCCCAGTACAGACGTCTGTGGGTTGAACGTGTCGTTTGTCCGTCCCTCGTCTTCAGGCCGTCACTGCGACGTCCATCAGATGACTGGGAACTACATGTGGGACCAATCGTCCAACAAGGAGTTCCTGATCGGTACCAACCAGGACAGTCGGTTACCCCTGTGGTGGGACGGTTCTGAACCTCTGTGGGTCACCATGATGAAGCTCAAGAAGAAGGTGTTCATGTACTACTGGCCTGGTGAGTACTTCCTCCACAGTGGGGGGGGTGGGGGTGGGGGATGTGCTGCTACCTGATGGACCCTGTGTGTGTGTGTGTGTGTGTGTGTGTGTGTGTGTCAGGCTGTGAGGTGGAGATCCTGGGTGTTCAGCCGTCCTTCTGTCAGGTCTACCACAGCAGCCCATCACAGCAGAACTTCACTGACTCCATGGTCAGTGCTGTCAGTGTCCTGAGGTAACACTGCCGACCGATGTTAGTAAGAAGGTCACCAGCAGGTGGTGCTGCGGTGGACTTTGTCACTCACCTAGACCAAAACTATGACAGACTGAATTAGACTGACGAGTCATCACTCTGACGTCAGAGCTGGGGGCGGAGTTAAAGTGGATCTGATTAATGATGATGACAATTAGTCACGATTAATCAAGATGAATAGATGATGATGATGATGATGATGATGAAGGTCAGTGAAGACCTGGACCACATCTGTCTCTGTTACAGCTCATTTTTTGAACTCAAAAAATAATTGACAAGGAAAAAAGATTTTGCTGATGTCAAACTTAAGGCCCACGGACCAAATGCAGCACGTGCCATTTCATGTTGTCAACCAGATCTTAGTATGAGTTTAGTTGTGTTAAACAGATAAAAGTCTATATTCTGGACCAGTGTCCCGAGCCGTGGCGCACCATCAAAGAATGATGTCACCAAATAGTCCCTGAAAGAAACCAAATGTCGATCTTCGAGTTTCAGTTGAGTTTTTACTAAATCTGGTGTCGGTGTGAAACCCGGCTCGTTCAGTGCTTCAGTGTTTACAGCCATCTGCTGCCACCTAGTGTACAACTATTTAATTGTTTTACCTGTGACTGTCACAGACGACAGGAGCCAATCCCCAGCGGTGCTCAATATGTGGTTCTTCTTGGACCGCTGCTTCGACTGACTGGGACAGAACCGGTCCAGAAGGTTCTGTTGTTAGCTTCAGTGCTAACGTTTCTCTCTCCGCCTCGACCTCAGCTCCGGCCAGGCCGACATGGCAGCCATTTACTACGAGGACGTGGACGTGATGGGTCACCGCTTCGGTCCAGAGTCCGCGGAGGTCAGGCGGGCCGTGGAGCAGGTGGACCAAGTGCTGCAGATTCTCCTCAGCCAAATCAAGGTGAGACACGTGACTCCAGTGACTCCACTGCTCCACCGTGGACTGTGATCCGCTCACGCTGCTCGGCTCCCCCTGCAGGAGAACCACATGGAGGAGCGGCTGAACATCGTGCTGTTCTCTGACCACGGGATGACCAACGTCCAGTTGATGGAGAAGGTCATAGAACTGGACAAGTTCGTCAACATGTCCGACGTCCTGAAGATGATGGACCGAGGAGCCGTGGTCAGTGTGTGGCCCCAGGACGGCAAACACAGAGAGGTGAGCTGTGGGGCAGGTGAGGGGCAGGTGAGGGGCAGGTGAGGGGCAGTTGTTCCTGCTCATTTGGTTTATAGATTTGAGAGAATAAATTATTCTAATGTGATTTTTAGATGTGTCTATAAGACCACGTGGCCCCGCCCACACCCCCCACCCCCCATGGTTGTGTGTGTGTGTGTGTGTGTGTGTGTGGTGACCCCAGCTGTTCGAGGCCCTGACTCTGATCCCAAACATGACGGTCTATGACAGACAGCAGATCCCTGAGCGTTTCCACTATAAGGGAGGAAGGTTCGTCTCACCTTTGACCCTGGTGGCTGACCCCGGCTGGTTCATTGTAAAGGTAACAATAAATATCTACACCCCCCACCCCCCCACATTCAACTACTTCACCCCTGAATGTGTGTTTGTTCCAGAACAAGCAGAGTCTCCCGTCCTGGCAGAACGGTTCTGCAGGTCGGTACAACGGCTGGCACGGCTACGACAACCAGTTCCCGGACATGAGAGGGTTCTTCATGGCTTCAGGACCGGGTACTGAACAGTCTTGATGATGTCATGATGATGTCACCATACAACTGGTGACGCACAGGAAACCCTGGTGGACACAATTATATACACACACATATATACATATATATGTATACATATATAAACATATACACACACGTATTCACATGTGGTATATGCAGTATGTAGGTGGTATTTCCTACACCCTCCTGTTTTTTTTAGCCTTTTTTTTTTGAAGTTTTAAATATAGAGCAGTGTCAAATAGAACTGCTTTAGAAAAAGTTTTTTTTTTTACTTTACTTTACTTTTACTTTAGACGAGGAACTGAGCACAAAAACAACACAAATATTTATGGAGTATTTGAAAGTATTCAGGTGCAGTACTGACGTGAAACAGAAAAAAACCAACAAAGTGAAAAACCCGACGACACGTCACTGCTGTAAACACCTGGGAACAAGAAGAAAGTACACATATATATTCACCTGTACACATATATATTCACCTGTACACATATATATTCATCAGTACACATATATATATATTAATATATACACACACACACACACACACACATATGTGGTTGTTGTGTTGGTTTTTGTGTCAGTTTTCCTCAGTGACTTTCTTACTTTTCCCTCTTTTGTTCAGATTTCAAGCGTAACCATCAGGGCACTGCCATTGGAACAGTGGACGTCTATAACCTCCTCTGCTGGACCCTGGGAATTGAACCTCTGCCCAACAATGGCTCCTGGTCCCAGGTGAAGAATCTCCTGAGGGATTCTGACCCCTCTCAGCCCGCTGCCCTCTGGACCTGCTCCGTGTGTTTGTTAGGGATCATCATCATTGGCCTGTGGGAGTAAGACAGTCGTCAACAGTCGTCAACAGTCGTCGACAGTTGTTGTCGGTCGTCAACAGTCATCAACAGTCGTCTGCCTGTGTCTAAACTTGTTTATGTTTCTGTTGATTATTTGTTTGATCCATATTTGATTTAAAAAATAATTTTTCACATGTTCAGCTACACTCTGTGTAAACAAACATCTGAACACTCCTTGGATTTCTATGTTTTCGTGAATTTTCTTCAGAATAAATCAAAAACTGCTCTTTAAAACAGTGTGACGTCAGTTTTCAAATATACATACATTAAATAACCACGTCACGTCACAACACCCTCACAGTCCCAGGTCTACTGGAAATGAATGGATACACGACAAGACAGTTCAACCTTTGAACACTAGATGGTGGTAACGTGCCTTTAGTCGGAGGAGCACTTCTCCTGGAGATTCTTTCTCCTGTCAATGAGTGTATTATTATTAAACATTTTCAGAATCTTATTAATATAGTACGTGTCTTTGAAAAGTTTTTTTTCATTTTCGAGCAAGTTGTATTAATTTGTTTAAATTGCTTAAATTTTTCAGAAACTTCACGACGAAACCGTCATTGACGAAGTAAAAGCAGCCACAAGTGTGACAGCTCCACAGAGACCCACCTCCTGGGTGACTTCAGCCCACGCCTCTTCTGCTTCATTCGTGTCACGATAAACCGTAGCAGTGGTGTTGGAGGCCGCACATGAGTCGATAAACTTCTCCTCTATTGTTCTCAAACTTTTTCGCTTAGTTACAAGGAAGTGACGTCAGGATGAACGCGTTGCTGATTGAATGATCGAACGGATGCCCACGAAGAGTTCTTTTTTCTGACTTCATTCGCGTCACGCCACACATTACATCACGTACAGTTGATTAATTACCCTGGTGATTAATATCTACCTCTTGGGGCAGTGGTGGGTTAGGCCAGGTTACCACTGAGGATGATGGGTAAATACAGAGGTCACATCTCGTTGTGTGCTGTGTCATAATCATAATTTTGTGACCAATTGACAGCCACGCTGACATGAACATGAACCAGTTCTAAAGAATTCGAGGAAACGTTTTAGTTTTTATTCACATTCAGCTGATTCAAAAGTCAGAAGTGGAGAAAACACAGACAACGCAGGCGTTAGAGCTGGGAATCAAACCACTGACCTACCTGCTGTGAGGCATGATGTCAATGTTTTGGTCTAGAACATATCACTGGTGGAGCTCCAGTGGACTAACATCACCATGACAACAGTGTCCAGCTGGTTTACATGGTACATTTATTAGTGAACTCTCAGATCAGCCACAACAGTTCAAAGAAACGTGATTGCACGACTTGGTGAAGCAGAACTTCATTAAAAAAAGTACAAATCTTAAAAATTCCAAACAGTAAACAGACGTTTATATCGATGCTAACTAGTTATGTTAATGCTACCAACCATATGATTCCAATGGAATGAAAAATGATAACATTAATATGAACCATCTCCTATATATAATATATATAATATATATTAGTTGTGCCCCCCCCCCCCCCCCCCCCATGTCCCAATCCAAACATGGAAACAAAATGAGGTAACTGTAAAAGTGCAAGGACCAAAGCAAGAAAACTAAATTTGCCAAACACAAAACCCAACTGTGTCTCTGCTGGCGGGTGGTCGGTGTGGTGTTCAGGTGAGCACCCCGAGTGGCCAGGAGGAGTAAGAACAGGAAACCACAATCCCAGAACAAAACAGAACAAGAAACCAGTTTGGTAATAAATATCTGGCGTCTACGACCAATCAGCTGCGAATCCTAAACAAACTTTAGCTGCTTATTGGACACGATTTTTTCTGCTGCACCACACAAGCTGTGAGAGGTTCAAACCAACGACCAACAGAAAGACTACAAGACTCCAGTCTGTCGTCATAAAAGACCGTCCACCGGCACAGGAAGCTGAAGATGATCAAGTCAAAGTCAACGCTGACCAAAGTCTCTGGATGTGAAGGATACATTTGAAAGATACTGATACACTGAGAGGAAGAGCCTGATTGGCTGAAACATTAGCACACTGAAATAATTATGACAACACAACTCCTTTTATTTCCCCTTAAACTAGAGCGATTTTAAACGGACATTTCCAGGTTATTAGTCAGAACATGCTGTAAGAATACATGAGCTCCATGGTCAACTATTGCATACACGCAGGTGAGTCTTCATACCTAAAAGCAGAACATCTAGCACCTTTTCACTATGGCTTTTTAATAAACTACAGTAGTTTCAGAGCAGGTTGTTGTTTTCAGTCGTCGGGGCAACAACAGTAACACCACAGATGGAGGAACGTCCGGCCTCCGGACAAGCTCCTGGGCTTTTTTTTTTTTTTTTTTCCTATAAAATGAAATTAGCGCAATAAAATCTGGTCGTCATTCAGTTCTATTACAAATGTGTGCAGTTCAATGCATGGCAGTTATCAGCTGAGCGTTAACATCCAAACCCCCAGAATCCACGGGGGTCCGGTCGACGAGCATGCAGACTGTGCACCACCGGATGGTTCTCCGTCGGGTTCTTCACAGATCCTCAACCAGAACACACAGAAGTCATGCAAACACCCCCTGGTGGGGAGGTGTGGGGTGACACTCAGGTGGGAGGGCAGGGCCACGCACACTGAGAAACGTGTTGAGGAGTGAAGCTCCGCTGCAGCAGCAGAACAGAAGTCAGAACACGCTGGTCCAGAGCTGCTGAAGGTTCACACACAGTAACACTGTTGTTGTTGTTGTTGTTGTCGTTGTTTTCTTGCATGCCTGTCCATTAATCATATTTTATCTACTATTTCAGACAAAAGAGAATATTATTGGTTACATTAAAACATTTATGTGAAGTGTCAGATAGATCCTCTTCATGGCGTCACTTCCATCTAAATGGACTGTTCTCCTTTATTATTATTATTATTATTATTATTTGCAATACTGAGAGGCCCTGAGTGATTCTTTGAAACACACCATAGAATAATCTGTACACAGAGGTCGGGGGTCAACGCTGTGGGAATAAATGGCTTTTTCTTTTTCTCTTAAAGGTGGCACAGATGTTAGGAAGTCACTTTCACGTAGGAAAAGGACAGAACGAAAACAGGAAAGGTCACAGGTCAGGGTCAGGGCAAAGGTCACATCTGCCTGCTTCAATGGGGCAGATAAGAGACAGGAACGGATGAAAACAGAAAAGATCATCAGTCGACCCTCTCCCTCCCAGCTGACCCGTCTGTGACCTGTCTGTGAACACAGGTCTCTGCACCAATCAAATCTCCAGCTGGACTCAATGGAACGGTCTGATCACTGAGGGCCAGTCAGTCAGTCAGGCAGTCAGTCAGTCAGACAGTCAGACAGTCAGTCAGACAGTCAGTCAGTCAGTCAGTCAGTCAGTCAGACAGTCAGACAGTCAGTCGGTCAGTTGACCAGTCGGCCAGTTAGTCAGTCGATCAGTCAGTTGATCAGTCAGTCAGTTGATCAGTCAGTCGATCAGTCGGTCAGTTGATCAGTCAGTCAGTCGATCAGTTGGTCAGTTGATCAGTCAGTCGATCAGTCATTCAGTCGATCAGTCAGTCAGTTGATCAGTCAGTCAGTCGTTCAGTCAGTCGATCAGTCATTCAGTCGATCAGTCAGTCAGTTGATCAGTCAGTCGCTCAGTCATTCAGTCGATCAGTCAGTCAGTTGATCAGTCAGTCAGTTGATCAGTCAGTCAGTTGATCAGTCAGCCAGTTGATCAGTCAGTCGATCAGTTGGTCAGTTGATCAGTCAGTCGATCAGTTGACCAGTCGGCCAGTTAGTCAGTCGATCAGTCAGTGTCCTACAGGGTTTTCAAAAACATTCACTCTGAAACTACACACAGTCGCTCTTTGTCCTCAGCCTCAGACATGTGACCCGACCAGGAGACCAGAACCTGAGAGACCTCCGTGACCTCCTCCGTGACCTCCTCCGTGACCTCGACTGACGGTCTGGGACTGAAACACGCGGCGCAGACCGTCTTCAGGGTCAGCCACAGGTTTGTGCTTGTCAAGGTCATGAGAAGAAGGCGGGTTGGACCACATGTTGACGTGGGCCGCGGCCCACGGACAACAATAAAAAAAGGATCATTTCAAACTGACCAATCGCTGCACGGGTGGAGCTACATGCACGTCTTCTCACTCGGCGCTCTTTTAGAAAACGTCTCTTCTTTTCTGGAAGTTTCTGCTGTTGGTGACGATGCTCGCTTAAAATATTGCTAATCTGAGCTAACAGTTCATGCAAATCTTAGCATGCTGCCTCCAGTGGACACACACACACACACACACACACACAGGGACCAATGATGACGTAGAGGGTGGAGTTACCCAGGGAGAGAACCCACAGACCTGTCCCACGACCGCAGGCTCCACAGCACACCCGCACCGTCACCGA